TTGACGAGCCAGAACAAGACGTTACATTGTTTTCAGACCCCCTCGCTAAGACCCATCAAATGACTTCATGGGTCTCAGAAGAACCTCAGGCGCCCCGGGACCCACATATCAGGCCAGTGGAGCGTGTAGGCACAGTGGGAGAGCGGAGTGGGAAAGGGCCCTCAAGGCATTGTAACAAACTGGTCAGTTGCATCAAAGCAAAGAGAACCAGGTCATGCAGTGTTTATTACCAGCAGGTTATTGGTTCTCCTGGATAAGAAGAATTGTGTTCCACGGCTTTTGAGCACAACCTAGAAATGCTTCCTTGATTTCTCAAACACTAGATGCACAATTGTGAAGAATCATCATACACACATACTGTAGACATACATATGTTTGCACACAGAATTATGAGCATGTATGCCAAATATATTGTACTATTTTACTGCTATAGAATGTGTAGAGGCTAATGAATGGAGCCATGTGTGATCAGAAAGCCTCATGGCTGGTGAAGCAGCCCTCGTGCAGGAGATGATCCAGTGTGAGTGTGTGTCGTTTCCATGGTGCATACATGTGCTGTGGAGCATTGCAGAGTTCTCTTGAGAGATACGTGTGCGTTTGGAATATCATGAAAGATTCTGCAGTAAGGGAGGGTCTTAGAAGAGTTCATCACTCCACATTATTTCATTTATTCACTATTCATACACATGATCCTATTCGGAATATCTATTTTAGAGACCTGTCTCAAGACAAACTAAATACATAAATTAAATAATCCAGAAGCACAATTAGTGGAGCTGAAATAGTATTCAGAGTAAATGAAAGTACACATGATCTAAGGGGAGGGGGTGAAGCAGACAGTAATTATGCTGGTTGTGTAATTGCAGTGCTATACTTAACTTACATACTAAGAGAGTCTGGGTTGGATACTGTTCCCTGGGTTTAGTTCTTATGCTGTATGCATTTCTTTCCAAAGTGTGCTAACACATTTTACAGTATTTCCTCTGGTATGTACCTGATATTCAATGGGAAATTGTTGAATCAGATTGAGCCAAGTGGTGCTTATTTTATTCAATCCCGAAGAAACAAACAAGTAATTAATAGGTTAACTGTGTAATTACCATTTCACCATGTCATTACTAAGTAAATACCAAGTTATTTCTGTAGTGTAAAATAAAGTGCTACATCGTGGTATAGGGTGTGTCCTCTTTCACACTGCTGGTATGTGTGACTCTACTGAGGTCACCCGGTTTGGCTGACGATTGTCTGGTCCAGTTACCCTCATCCAGGCGGGATACTGTATAGTGAATGAGGACCTGAAAACCTCCATATACAGCTGCCAAAATATCAGCATGTTGTTTTGTTTGTTTGTTTACCATCAATCATTTTTGATACACATGTGTAATATTATCACTCTATTTATTAGATTTGTTTTGTGAATAAACTGTTAATGTCCATCTTAAATGATGACTTCCAGATGATGTTGGTACGGTATGGTACATACTGATGTGGTAATGATGCGTTATGAAACCTATTGGACAGCATTGTTATTCTATCATATAAACATCATTAGACTAGTGTTCCATTTAAGTAAAAATCTGATAACACTCAGTAGATTTGAATAAATGATTTTATTCTGATTAAAACAGGGTTAGGCAATAAGGCAGCTCAGACAGGATAAACAGATAAGCTGGTTGTTCCAGTTGTTGAGGGATTTTGGACACAGCTTTTCCTCACCATTCCCACAATGCACCAGCAAATCATGCATAATTGTGTGTGCGATGAAGGTGGCTGACCCAAGACGTGAGGGAGGGGGGATGGAAAGAACAAAGGGATTGAGAGAGAGGCGAGAGCATGTGAAAACAAGCCTGTGATCAAAATAATGCTGTCCAGTTTTTTTTTTAAATGCCAAGTTTATCATTTCTCATCGCCCCCTTACATTTCACACATTCTGCTGAGGCAGAGCGAAGCATCTTTAAATGCTACAGAGGAGGAGAGAGGGAGGCGGGATGGAGAGAGGGAGGAGGGATGGAGAGAGGGAGGAGGAGGAGAGGCGACAGGCAGAGGAAGGGGGAGGGATTGTGGTTGCGTCTGGTGCTATTGTCATTCTGCTGTTGCGCGCTTCAGCGGCAGGAGGCTCTGCTGAAAGTAGAAAACAGAGCCACGGAGGACAGAGAGAGAGAGAGAGAGAGAGAGAGAGAGAGAGAGAGAGAGAGAGGGGGGGACAGGGATAGAAAGGAGAGAAAGGAAGGGAGAGCCTACAGCCTGTCAGGAGGACAGAGAGAGGCAGAGGGAATGAGGAGAGGAAAAAATGAATAATCTGTCTGCAAAGAAGACCAAAGATCCAAGGACTGTGCCTTGTTAGCTTTTTTCAGTTTTCTCCTGAAAGGATAAGGGGGCTGAGAGGAAGACTATTGTTCTCTCCTTACTGATGCTTTTCTCAATGCTCTCATGCAGGAGGCATGCTCAGAAGTAGTGTGAAAGGAGGCAGAGAAGGCGATTTAAAGATGGAACGGGCGGAAAGCACCAAAACGTACGGCCAAGCCGAGGGCAAAGCTGTTGGCATGGCAGCCAAGAGGGGTAAGTCGGGGGTGCCCCATAGCGCCCAGCGAGGGGAACTGAGGGTATACCGTGCAGGTAGCTCTGAGGGGCGGCTGCCAGTGTCCTCCAACCTCCGCAAGCAGAGGTCCATGACCAACCTGGCCGTGCTCACTGATGCAGAGAAGAAGATACACCTCTACGAGCCCAAGTGGTGTGATGACATGGCTAAACCTGGAGCAGGGCCCCTCAAGGCAGGCAAGCCCAAGCTGGCAGGAGGGGGTGGCGGTGGTGGACGAGGGGGCACGCCGCTCTCACGCAACCTCTCCAAGTCAGAGCACTCTCTCTTCCAGGGCAAACCCAAACCCTTCAGCCCATTGGCGGCTCCTTCTGGTCTAGTCAGACCCGGTCAGAGCCGGATCCCCCGGGCGCCATATGCAGAGGTGAAGCCCCTGAGTAAGGCCCCTGAGGACGGCAAATCTGATGATGAGATCCTCTCCAGCAAGGCCAAGGCTGCCAGCAAGAAGCAGGCAGTGGGAGCTTCTGTGGAGGCAGGGGCCAAGGGCCAAGGGGATGGGAGCCAATCCTCCTTCCTCAAGGTGGATCCAGAGCTGGTAGTGACTGTCCTGGGTGACCTGGAACAGCTTCTCTTCAGCCAGATGCTGGGTGAGTAAAAACAACTATTTTCCCTCCTGCAGACCTCAACCTGCCTGTCGAGCCTGGCTGTGTGTCTGTTACTCTCTACCGCACAAAAAAAAAAAAACTCTCCTCTCGACGCCTCTCCCCATCAGCACACCCCCTTACTACAGCTGTCACTAACACCTGCTTGCTACTGCAGTCCTCATTGTCCATGAATGGAGCTAATCTTGCTGGGCATCGATTGAGATTAACTCCAGGGGTTTTATACCGTCTCTCAGAGTTCATATCGCATGCACTTGAAAAGCTATCTCTTGAATACTGCCCCAGCTTTGGCATTTTGTTTTAAAGCTGTATCCTGATTATTGTGAAGCAGGGTTTTTGATCAGTCACAGCAGGTGGTGGTGGACAATGCCTCCATTGTTTGCAATGCATTTAGGTTATTCTTTCTAATATCCTACTGGCTGCTCTCTGGCGTATAAAGCATTATGTCATTGATTGTGTGTATAAGGTTGTTTCCTGAGCTCTATTCCATCTCGGCTCTAGTCTGCTGCAGTGGGTTGACCAACCAGCTAGGCCCTCAGTGATCCTGTATCTGTATGCTCCATGCAGAGATATCTGTGAATGGTTCCAGAAAATAGGACCTGGGAAATAAACTGAGACATATTGAATTGATTTTCAGCCCACTGTGAGACACATATTTAGCCTCCTTCCAGCCCCATTCATCCGTGGCCATTGACAGATGGTGCCCACACTGTCTACTATGGGAAGTAAAATGGCCAGGACTGGCTGGGCTTCTCTCTCTCTCTCTCTCTCTCTCTCTCTCTCTCTCTCTCTCTCTCTCTCTCTCTCTCTCTCTCTCTCTCTCTCTCTCTCTCTCTCTCTCTCTCTCGCTCTCTCTGTTAGTAGTAGTCTAGGTATCTCAGTAAAACTATAAGCTCTTTGTTTCCAACCAGGTGGATAAAGAAGATAGAGTAGCATGATATAATGTATAGATGTCATTGACTGAATACAGCACATTCTGAACAGAATATCTCTCTTTTTCTGAAACATGCAGTACAGTGTAATGTTTCTGACAGGTTTTACACTGACCAGAGGTATAGGTTGATCACTGGATTGCTTCCTGTGAAATCTCTTTATTGGCCTCTGGCTATGCATCTCATTATCCAAAATGAATGCATTAGATTAGTGTGTTTGGTTAATTGGTTAATTGGCTTTGACGTTGATCAGAAACAAGAGCACTTTAGATCAGCTTTAGATTAAGACCAAGAACCAAATATCCAACCCAAACCTTGTTGTCTTTCTCTGACTGTCATACATGGCTGTCATATATCCCACTGTACTCCAGTTTGTGAATCAGCTGCTGAGTTGGTGACCTTAATTTCAATTATGCCCCTGGCTTTATTAGATTGCCAATTTCAAGTCCCAGACCCCAAGGGTCCAGGGTTCCAGTCTAGAAGCACAGTTTCTACTGCTCCTACAGTCTTGCTTCGGTACTGCAATTTAACTGACACCCGGCCCAGAATGACAATTTCTATAGACGGCCACATAGAGTACCACAGTATGAGTCAAAATACCCATAAAGCAGTCAAACAAGGAAATGGTTCCAATCATTTTTCCACCATTCATTTATCCCATAAGGGATTTTAGAATTTGTTTCGTGTAGACTTACCCTGGCGTGACGTTTTGATAACCGTTTATGTCTCTCTAGGACAAGGTGAGCTTTATCAATATATTTGCCTGTATTTACCCCCTAAAAATTAAATGCTAATTAGCTGCTATGTGGCTTTTATAAAGAACTACAAATGCCATGATGATCTGGACGAGACTCCCGAATCGAGGCAAAGGTAAAAATCTCTGTATTAACTATTTAATGTTAGCTAAATGTGGTAATTAATAAATTGGCTACATTTCTTCAAATGGACAATTCTGTGAACTGTCTTGTGCAAGTTTAAAATGTACACAATACCTGTTAGCAAAGGTGTCAGCAAGAGATGACATGCAGAAGCTTGCAGGGATTTGTAGTTTTGCATGATGTCTACTTTGATGCTAATTAGCATTTTCGAATCTGAGAGTAAATAGAGACAAATATATTGAAAAAAGTCACCTAGTCCGAGAGAGATTTACATGGTTATCAAAACGTCATGCCAGGGTAAGCCTACATGAAACAGAGCCCTTATTTTAAGTGTTTCCTAAATCCCCTATGGGAAAAATGATTGGTAGAAAAATGATTGGAACCATTTCCCTGTTTGACCGCTAGGTTTTATGGGTATTATGACACCTCCACTGTGGGGCTCTATAGAGAAATCAGATTAGACCATTCCTAACTAATAAGAAAGACACTTCAGTCATCACCTTTGTGCACAAAACATCCATTGAATTATTCAAATAATTGTCGCTGAGGCTGATTTAAAAAAAAATCACTCACAGCCAAATATATAAACATTTTATATTAATCAAATGTCTGCCATGTTTTTGGATGACGTAATGACACCATCGCTGCTCGCGCTGATCCCTGTACGCACTGAGTGCTAATGCTCATGTGAAGTTGGGCCATGTAAACCGGATGCAACCCGGATATACAGTCGTGGTCAAAAGTTTTGAGAATGACAAAAATATTAATTTTCACAAAGTCTGCTGCCTCATTTTTTATGATGGCAATTTGCAAATACTCCAGAATGTTATGAAGAGTGATCAGATGAATTCCCTCTTCCCCAAGTCCCTTTTGCCATGAAAATGTACTTAATCCCAAAAGACATTTCCACTGCATTTCAGCCATGCCACAAAAGGACCAGCTGACATCATGTCAGTGATTCTCTCGTTAACACAGGTGATAATGTTGATGAGCTTTAAAAGGAGGGTGGTGCTTTAAATCATTGTTCTTCCTCAGTTAACCATGGTTACCTTCAAGGAAACTGTGAGAGTGTGATTTAAAGGAGTCAGGCGCAGGAGGGTAAATCACCGAATACAGAGTTTATTCTGTAGGACACAGTTCAGCTGGATAGCGTCAACAAAATACAGGCACACGGGGAACAATATCCCCGGAAATACAAGGTACGGGTAGCTCAACCGAGCTACACTCAATTCACAAATAACAATCACCCACAAGGACAAGGGGGGCAGAGGGAACACTTATACATGTACTAATGAGGGGATATGAACCAGGTGTGTGTAATTGACAAGACAAGACAAATGGAATGATGAGATATGGAGCGGCAGAGGCTAGTAGGCCGGTGACGACGAACGCCGAAGCCTGCCCGAACAAGGAGGGGAGGCAGCCTCGGCGGAAGCCGTGACAGAAATACGTGCCGTCATCATTGCTTTGCACAAAAAGGGCTTCACAGGCAAGGATATTGCTGCTAGTAAGATTGCACCTAAATCAACCATTTATCGGATCATCAAGAACTTCAAGGAGAGATTGTTGTGAAGAAGGCTTCAGGGCGCCCAAGAAAGTCCAGCAAGTGCCAGGACCATCTCCTAAAGTTGATTCAGCTGCGGGATCGGGGCACCACCAGTGCAGAGCTTGCTCAGGAATGGCAGCAGGCAGGTGTGAGTGCATCTGCACGCACAGTGAGGTGAAGACTTTTGGAGGATGGCCTGGTGTCAAGAAGGGCAGCGAGGAAGCCACTTCTCTCCAGGAAAAACATCAGGGACAGACTGATATTCTGCAAAAGGTACAGGGATTGGACTGCTGAGGACTGGGGTAAAGTCATTTTCTCTGATGAATCCCCTTTCTGATTGTTTGGGGAATCTGGAAAAAAGCTTGTCCGGAGAAGACAAGGTGAGCGCTACCATCAGTCCTGTGTCATGCCAACAGTAAAGCATCCTGAGACCATTCATGTGTGGGGTTACTTCTCAGCCAAGGGAGTGGGCTCACTCACAATGTTGCCTAAGAACACAGCCATGAATAAAGAATGGTACCAACACATCCTCCGAGAGCCACTTCTCCCAACCATCCAAGAACAGTTTGGTGACGAACAATGCCTTTTCCAGCATGATGGAGCACCTTGCCATAAGGCAAAAGTGATAACTAAGTGGCTCGTGGAAACTCCCCAGACCTTAATCCCATTGAGAACTTGTGGTCAATCCTCAAGAGGCGGATGGACAAACAAAACCCCACAAATTCTGACAAACTCCAAGCATTGATTATGCAAGAATGGGCTGCCATCAGTCAGGATGATGCCCAGAAGTTAATTGACAGCATGCCAGGGCGGATTGCAGAGGTCTTGAAAAAGAAGGGTCAACACTGCAACTATTGACTCTTTGCATAAACGTAATATAATTGTCAATAAAAGCCTTTGACACTTATGGAATGCTTGTAATTATACCTCAGTATACCAAAAATATCTAAAAACACTGAAGCAGCAAACTTTGTGAAGACCAATACTTGTGTCATTCTCAAAACTTTTGACCACGACTGTAGACGGCCCATGAATCGGCTTATGCGAACGTGAAGAGATTACGTTGAAAACAATGGTCAGACATCTTGGATGCAGATACCTCAGTGCCAGACCCTCACTGTTGTTTCATAGGATGCTCATTTGGGGTGTATTTTTCTCTGCAGGCTCCTGAAAGGGTCAGCTCTCCTCTGGTCCACTCTAACAACAACATGTTGTGACGGACAGTAATTGAAGGTGGGACTGCATGGTTTGAGAACTTTAGGCCACTGGAGATCAAATCAAATCCACATTTATTTGTCACATGCAGGTGTAGACCTTACCGTGAGAAATGCTTACTTACAAGCCCTTAACCAACAATGCAGCTCAAGAAAGAGTTAAGCAAATATTTACCAAATAAATTATAAAAAAGCAACACAATAAAATAACAATAACGAGGCTATATACAGGTGGCGCCAGTACTGAGTCAATGTGCAGGGGTACAGGTTAGTCGAGGTAATTTGTACATGTAGGTAGGGGTAAAGTAAATATGCATCGATAATAGACAGTGGGTAGCAGCAGTGTAAAAACAAATGGAGGGGGGGGGGGGGGGGGTCAATGTAAATAGTCCGGGTGGCCATTTGATTAATTTTTCAGCAGTCTTATGGCTTGGGGGTAGAAGCTGTTAAGGAGCCTTTAGACTTGCCGCTCCAGTACCGCTTGCCGTGCGGTAGCAGAGAGAACAGTCTATGACTTGGGTGACTGGAGTCTTTTACAATTTTCTGGGCTTTCCTCTGACACCGCCTATCATATAGGTCCTGGATGGCAGTAAGCTTGGCCCCAGTGATGTACTGGGCCGTACGATCTACCCTCTGTACCACCTTAGGGTCAGATGCCGAGCAGTTGCCATACCAGGCGGTGATGCAACTGGTCAGGATGCTCTCGATGGTGCAGCTGTAGAACTCTTGGAGGATCTGGGGACCCATGCCAAATCTTTTCAGTCTCCTGAGGGGGAAAATGTGTTGTCGTGCCCTCTTCAGGACTGTCTTGGTGTGTTTGGACCATGATAGTTTGTTGGTGATGTGGACACCAAGGAACTTGAAACTCTCGACCCACTCCACTACAGCCCCGTCGATATTAATAGGGGCCTGTTCTTGTAGTCCATGATCAGCTCCTTTGTCTTGCTCACACTGAGGGAGAGGTTGTTGTCCTGGCACCACACTGCCAGGTCTCTGACCTCCTCCCTAAAGGCTGTCTCATTATTGTCAGTGATCAGGCCTACCACTAATGTGTCATCATGTTTGGCCACGCAGTCGTGGGTGAACAGGGAGTACAGCAGGGGACTAAGCACGCACCCCTGAGGGGGCCCAGTGTTGAGGATGCGTGGCAGACGTGTTGTTGCCTACCCTTACCACCTGGGGGCAGCCCGTCAGGAAGTCCAGGATCCAGTTGCAGAGGGAGGTATTTAGTCCCAGGGTCCTTAGCTTAGTGATGAGCATTGTGGGCACTATGGTGTTGATCGCTGAGCTGTAGTCAATGAACAGCATTCTCACATAGGTGTTCCTTTTGTCCAGGTGGGAAAGGGCAGTGTGGAGCGCAATTGAGATTACGTCATCTTTGGATCTGTTGGGGCAATATGCAAATTGGAGTGAGTCTAGGGTATCAGGGATGATGCTGTTGATGTGAGCCATGACCAGCCTTTCAAAGAACTTCATGGCTACCGACGTGAGCGCTACGGGGCGGTAATCATGTAGGCAGGTTACCTTCGCTTTCTTGGGCACAGGGACTATGGTGGTCTGCTTGAAACATGTAGGTATTACAGACTCCATCAGGGAGAGATTGAAAACGTCAGTGAAGACACTTGCCAGTTGGTCCACGCATGCTTTGAGTACACATCCTGGTAATCCGTCTGGCCCGCGGCTTTGTGAATGTTGACCTGTTTAAAGGTCTTGCTCACATCGGCTACCAAGAGCGTTATCACACAGTCGTCCAGATCAGCTGGTGCTCTCATGTTGCTTGCCTCAAAGTGACCATAAAAGGCATTTAGCTCGTCTGGTAGGCTTGCATCACTGGGCAGGTCGCGGCTGGGTTTCCCTTTGTAGACCCTAATAGTTTTCAAGCCCTGCCACATCCGACGAGCATCAGAGCCGGTGTAGTAGGATTCAATCTTAATCCTGTATTGACGCTTTGCCTGTTTGATGGTTCGTCCGGATTAGTGTCCCGCTCCTTGAAAGCGACAGCTCTAGCCTTTAGCTCGATGCGGATGTTGCCTGTAATCCATGGCTTCTGGTTGGGATATGTACGTACGGTCACTGTGGGGATGACGTCGTCGATGCACGTATTGATGAAGCCGATGACTGAGGTGGTATACTCCTCAATGCCATTGGATGAATCCCGGAACATGTTCCAGTCTGTGCTAGCAAAACAGTCCTGTAGCGTAGCATCCGCGTCATCTGACCACTTCCGTATTGAGCGAGTCACTGGTACTTCCTGCTTTAGTAGTTGCTTGTAAGCAGGAATCAGGAGGATAGAATTATGGTTAGATTTGCCAAATGGAGGGCGAGGTTGCTCCAAAGGGTAATGTTAATGAGCTCTGTCCTGAATCATATAGCCTAGAGACAAACAAGACAATTGTTGAATCCAATAATCATACTTGCTGTTTAGAATCGCTTAATTTTTATAGTATTTCAATATGCACCTGAATGGCCGTTATTGATATCAAGAGGTTTTATGAACAAGCCAGTCATAAGCATTCCAGCTAGCCAAAATAGAGATATATTTTGTTGACGTCCCCTATCTCAACTTAATGGATACATATTTACTGATCTGACTTGTTGGTCATGCTTCATTCGTTTATATGACGGGAGGTCGACCTCTCATGCTTGTCACGCTTAGAGCCAAGTAAACAGTGTCAGTAAACAATCACACTGTGAACATTGTGAGTCCATTGTGTGCGTATGTGTGTTTACATGCTTGCATTTGGTTGCATAGCAACCACTAGAGACATATTTTTTTTAATGTACTCAATTCTCATCCTCCTAGATTTTCTAAGGAATGGAGATTTTAGTTTAAATCTATTTAAGTAATTATTTTATAATGAGGAAATGTCACTTAAAACATCTGCTTAATGAATTATTTATTATTTTATAGGATGATCCCTCATGAGACAGCATTGCAATGAATGAACAGCTTTGTTTAATGAATGGTTAAACCAGGCAGAACTTCAGACAGGATGACAGAAATAACTCGCCTCCCACTGTCTCATAAAACAGCCCATGAGAGCAAATATTAAAACACACACACACACACACCAAACTATTTATCTTTGTGGCGCTGGGAATTAAAGCTACAGGCGATTACCTCTGCATGTTTACAGTAAAGGGCAACTTGACTGAAACGTCAACAAATAAATGTGCAGAGGCAAGCTGTTTGCAGGAGTACGTTTCCTCATTGATGTAACAGACAGCCCATATAAGGGGTAGCCAATCGTCTGTGAGTGTCCAGCACATACACATTGCATTCTAATTCTATGGTCCAGCACACTTCTCCTTATTCCAGGTCATAACATTCATTACAGAACATGTCTTTCCTTGAGAGAATTCCCCTTCCCTACTGCATGGTATAGTACAATAGCCATCCTTATTGGACAGATACATTTATTCATGGGCTTGTGCATTCATAGTCTGCATAATGCAGCAGTAACCCACTTTTTCATTAATTTTTTGCTCATTATAGGATTAATGAAAGGACTGTTTTGATAAATGAATATAGAGGCTATATTTGTGGGACACATCCTATGACTTCATTCTGATTCGGTGGTACATTAGTCCTCTGGATGTCATAATAGACTTATTTATTAAGTCAGTTTGTGTAATGCGACCTCGCTCCATTACCGGAACAACTCATCATAAGACAGAGCTGGAGATAGCCTTTGGTTCTCCCACTACATTACCTCTATTGTACAGTAGAGTGCAGCTGTAATGGACAAGCATGCGGAACCTCAATAGCGATCGGAAATTGCCAGGATTCAACTTATTCAAGAGGAATATAGTAATGTGAACATACTGTTATACAGTGCATAATGGGGAATGGAGAATAAGTGCACGTGAACATAACTAAGGGAGATTCGACTCTTTCTGTATGACAGATTCAATATTAATTCCTCCAATAGCCAAGTCCATGAGGACAGCAGGTCAGGTTGGTAAGCAGAGCTCTGGGTTACTACGACTACTGCAAGAGAACTAGCTGACCGGGCGGAGGCAGCATCCATGTCTTACTGCAGTAATTGGCTTGTTGCAGAACGTTACTTCCGTATTTACTAAAAGTGCTTCTCTCTTAGAATTTTGCACGTCTTCGCCGGAAGTAAATGATTAAGTTTTCCGGTTTCGCTACATCACGGTCGCCATAGAGCACGGTTTCTCAAACTCGGTCCTCGGGATCCCAAGGGGTGCACGTTTTGATTTTAGCCCTAGCACTACACAGCTGATTCAACTAATCATCAAGCTTTGATCATTTGAATCAGTTGTGTACTGTAGTGTTAGGGCAAACACCAAAACATGCACTCCTTGGGGTCCCGAGGACCGAGTTTGGGAAACGCTGCCATAGAGCCTATTGGATGTGAACAGCCATGCAAGCCCTCCATGACTGTGACAATAGAATTCACTGCCATAGAGTAGCGGTGAAATAGGTATGTAGGGTAAAATGTGTGAGGCAAACCCAGTGGTGTAAAGTAATTAAGTAAAAATACTTTAATGTACTACTTAAGTAGTTTTATTTTTTGTACTTTACTATTTACATTTTTGACAACTTTTACTTTTACTTCACTACATTTCTAAAGAAAATAATGTACTTTTTACTCCATACATTTTTCCTAAAGATATATATATACTGTATATACAGTGGGGAAAAAATTATTTTGTCAGCCACCAATTGTGCAAGTTCTCCCACTTAAAAAGATGAGAGAGGCCTGTAATTTTCATCATAGGTACACGTCAACTATGACAGACAAAATGAGAAAAAAAAATCATTGTAATTGTAGGATTTTTAATGAATTTATTTGCAAATTATGGTGGAAAATAAGTATTTGGTCAATAACAAAAGTTTCTCAATACTTTGTTATATACCCTTTGTTGGCAATGACACAGGTCAAACGTTTTCTGTAAGTCTTCACAAGGTTTTCACACACTGTTGCTGGTATTTTGGCCCATTCCTCCATGCAGATCTCCTCTAGAGCAGTGATGTTTTGGGGCTGTCGCTGGGCAACACAGACTTTCAACTCCCTCCAAAGATTTTCTATGGGGTTGAGATCTGGAGACTGGCTAGGCCACTCCAGGACCTTGAAATGCTTCTTACGAAGCCACTCCTTCATTGCCCGGGCGGTGTGTTTGGGATCATTGTCATGCTGAAAGACCCAGCCACGTTTCATCTTCAATGCCCTTGTTGATGGTAGGAGGTTTACACTCAAAATCTCACGATACATGGCCCCATTCATTCTTTCCTTTGCACGGATCAGTCGTCCTGGTCCCTTTGCAGAAAAACAGCCCCAAAGCATGATGTTTCTACCCCCATGATTCACAGTAGGTATGGTGTTCTTTGGATGCAACTCAGCATTCTTTGTCCTCCAAACACGACGAGTTGAGTTTTTACCAAAAAGTTATATTTTGGTTTCATCTGACCATATGACATTCTCCCAATCCTCTTCTGGATCATCCAAATGCACTCTAGCAAACTTCAGACGGGCCTGGACATGTACTGGCTTAAGCAGGGGGACACGTCTGGCACTGCAGGATTTGAGTCCCTGGCGACGTAATGTGTTACTGATGGTAGGCTTTGTTACTTTGGTCCCAGGTCTCTGCAGGTCATTCACTAGGTCCCCCCGTGTGGTTCTGGGATTTTTGCTCACCGTTCTTGTGATCATTTTGACCCCACGGGGTGAGATCTTGCGTGGAGCCCCAGATCAAGGGAGATTATCAGTGGTCTTGTATGTCTTCCATTTCCTAATAATTGCTCCCACAGTTGATTTCTTCAAACCAAGCTGCTTACCTATTGCAGATTCAGTCTTCCCAGCCTGGTGCAGGTCTACAATTTTGTTTCTGGTGTCCTTTGACAGCTCTTTGGTCTTGGCCATAGTGGAGTTTGGAGTGTGACTGTTTGAGGTTGTGGACAGGTGTCTTTTATACTGATAACAAGTTCAAACAGGTGCCATTAATACAGGTAATGTGTGGAGGACAGAGGAGCCTCTTAAAGAAGAAGTTACAGGTCTGTGAGAGCCAGAAATCTTGCTTGTTTGTACGTGACCAAATACTTATTTTCCACCATAATTTGCAAATAAATTCATTAAAAATCCTACAAGTTGATTTATGTAGAATAAAATCTCATTGTCGGTCATAGTTGGCCGTTACCTTGAGGAAAATTACGCCTCTCTCTCCTTTTAAGTGGAGAACTTGCACAATTGGTGGCTGACTAAATCCTTTTTTCCCCCACTGTATATATGGCAGAGAAAGGCCTATATATCTTCTTCTCAGTGAATAGGCTAATCTATTGAGTGGACCTTAAAGGGACAAACTGCCAAATCGGTCTTGATGAACTAATCTATACACCTTTACCCTGTCTGTCTTACACCTGAGAGCACTGAACAGATTCATTTAGCAATCTGTCAATTATTCTGCTCCCTCATTTTTATTTTTATTTTCTTTTGCGAAAAAGTAATAATTTAAACAGTAGGTGACGAGTTGTGGAGATTTATATGGCATTCATAATGCCCGTGATCTTTCCATTGAGATCTGCTTTAGCGTTCTATCTATCTGTCTGTGTGTGAGTGAGGAGGATTGCTCTCCCTCTCACAGATCACTGCAATGCAGGGCACCAGGGACCTGCCAATCACTTTAGCATGTATTTCCTCAGCAGCACATGTAGCCTGTCTGCATGCATGTCTGCTATTTGCTCTGCTGGCTGCCTCAGCTTCCTGTTTTGGGCCTATATGAAGGTCGCTAGCGTGTCTGCCACTACAAAGAGAAGGATGTTTTCCTTGTAGCTTTATGATGGAGGCACTGACAGTAGATCACATCGTGACAGTAGGTCCATGGCAGTGATGCTCTGAGTTTGTGAAAAGTGATTGACGACATACATACATTTTATGGTTTCGAGGATATTAAATCAAATGGCATCGTAGATCAAATTGACAAATACATTTCGATGTTACCTTCTTTGACTATGCAGGCCATGAGTGGGAATAATATCAGAACTATAAGGCTAGCTAGAATTAACCAATAAGGCCTGAGGGGGTGTGGTATATGGCCAATATACCATGGCCAAGGGCTGTTCTTATGCACGATGCAACACGGAGTGCCTGGATACAGCCCTTAGCCGTGGTATATTGGCCATATACCACAAACCCCCGAGGTGCCTTATTACTATTACAAACTGATTACCAACGTAATAGAGCAGTAAATAGCCATTTTTGGTCATACCCATGGTAAACAGTCTGATATACCACGGCTTTCAGCCAATCAGCATTCAGGTGTTGAACCACCCGGTTTATAATCTCTTTTAGATCACATTCACCATTTCCATAAACATATTTTATATTGTAAAAATCTAATATATTAAGTCAATAAATAACTTCATGTTCTGGCCGTCTGTTGTGGTGCTAGGTTAAATACTAAGGAGGATGGATGCACGCTATGGAAAGGTGCTTGTCTTAGCTATTTGCAAAAGGGTGGTGAAGTCCATCTACACTGGTTTCTAATGGAGGCAGCTAGGCAGTTTAAGATGATATGAACCCAGGTGTAACGTTAAATTGTTTGAAATACTGTGTGCGTGCAGAGATCCTTATTTTCAATCTAGTGATGCTGAAAAGGATCAGACAGTGTAATTGCACGAGGTTAAAACTGTTGAATGAGAGCATACTTTTAGCTTACAATAGCACCGCTCAGAACATTAACGTTACAGCCATGTTTTACAGTGGTAGATATGAAGGGGGAAAAAGCTTCCGAATTAATTGAACACCCCCACCTCTCTATCATGGTTTAAACCATTTATTTATACGTGGCTGCACAAACCATCTCCCTGTCCATGAATGGTATACATTCTATAGGGTGCTGAATTTCGGCCTCAGCTGAGTTACCTTAAACGGATAGATTTGACTTTGTACGTCCTCATGTTCGCCATTTGTTTGCAATGCATCCTTGATTTAAAAAAGTGCCTTTATTCCAGTGCATTAGATGTATTCGTTGGTTTATCGTTGTTTGCATTTGTCAGTCAGCTGTGTAGAGCTCTCATCGTTTTATTTTTCAGGTGCGTGCTTGGTATTCTCCATGCTTTCTGTCGCCACAAGAAGTAGACCATTTATTTAGCTTTATTATTTTTCTATCCATATTTGTTTTCTTTCCTGGATCAGCTGATGATCGACAATATCACTAGACACCTAGCCTACAGGTAGACACCAATGCACATCCAATCCATCCAACAAGTAGGCTGGATTAACCATAAAATAAGTTAACGACAGTAGGCCTATATTGACTATAGTTGACTCTTTCGTTAGAAGCATTCCATTTTGCAATGGCATAGGCCTACATTATTTTGGATTTGTGTGCCCATGAGAACTGTTTTCACAGCAAAACATAATGACATTCTGTGTAGGCATGGTTACACTTACATTGCATTTTCTGAGAGATCCAGCATTCCTACAGAGTTTAGTTAAGTTCATTGTTCTAATTAAATTGTTAAATGCTTCACTTGACAAATGATATGGCCATAAATGTCATTAATGTAAGGAAATAAAGGTAGTGTTTTATGACACACAATCTGTGAAGACTAAAAGCATATTTTATTGTTTACAATAATTTACAATTCATTGTCTCTGTTTCTAAATGGTGATTGTGTGATGACAGGATAAAACTGCTAACCTTGTGATATCATAATGGAGCTTTCATTACAACTGGGAACTCGGTAAAATCATTACGTCAGTGATCTTCATGTCGGGAAGTTGGAGTTCTAGAAAGATGGCCAAGTTTCCGACTTTACCCAGTCTGAGCTTTTTTTCCCCCCAGTTGTCTTGAACACACTGAACTCTGAGATTTCTGTGTTCCCAGTTGTCTTGAACGCACTGAACTCTGAGATTTCTGTGTTCCCAGTTGTCTTGAACGCACTGAACTCTGAGATTTCTGTGTTCCCAGTTGTCTTGAACGCACTGAACTCTGAGATGTCTGTGTTCCCAGTTGTCTTGAACGAACTGAACTCTGAGATTTCTGTGTTCCCAGTTGTTTTGAATGTGGCATCAGCAGCTTTATCTGAAGCCTGTGTGTGTTCATGTGTGTAACATTGCCTCGGCTGAGAGGGTAGGCTACCGGCAGTGGTGAAGGCCCACCTTTTTCTGAAAATGCATTGAAAGTAAAGGGAGCGTAACTTTTTTACCCACCATTTTCTTTTTTACCACACTAGGCTACATCACTGGCTACCGGTAGGCCTATTTAAAGTCCATGATAATACACATTGTAATTTGGCCATGTGTGTTAGGGTGACCATTCAGTTTTTCCTGGGACAGTTTCAACCCCATTTCACGTGTCATGACTTTTCAGGATACAAAAAGGTCAATTTGTCAGCAAGACGCATCAATTAATGTAGGCCTAATCAATGGCAATCGCCGAATGTCATTAAGCCCACTTTTTGGTGTTTAGTTTATTAATAAACAGTTGTTTATTTCCATTAATTTCAATGCTGGAATTATTTTGGAGTGGACAAACATACACCGGTAGCCTACTTTTTGAAGGGATTTCATTTTTACCGTCAAATGACGTCTTCACTATTAGGCCCATAAAAGAAAAATGGTGCACGCGTGCAATCACAGTGTAATTAGCGCTCTCCTCAGAGTGAAGAACTAATGAGTACTGTATGTGGCCCATTATTTCAGAATGCGTTTCCTCTGCTATGGTTGACTCTCAGCCAACACCTCCAATTAATTCAATAGATGATCATTTGTTCAACTCTCGTGGACTTTTGCCTGTAGCTATTTTACTGTATAGTAAAAAACGACATCTCTTCACCATCGTAGTCAAAGAGAAATACAGTCATTACTTTTAACAAATGAGACAGAACATTACTAACGTCTCCATGTTATTGATTTAGGATAGGATGATCATGTCTTGTCCACTGCCCATGCAGTGCAGGTTCCCAATTATTCACATCATCCATTATATGACATTTCCCTTTGTTTTGCTATGATTTACTATGGATTATTGTGAGTTTGTAGAGGGGCAGTGGGGGTGACTGAATGTGTGTGAAATTTTAATTGTGTTATGATTCTAGAATTGCCTAAATGTATGTAGGAACACGCACACACATCCTGGAGAATGTGTCTTCCCTTTTGGGAGGCTTTAGAGCAGGGATGTCCAAACTCATTCCATGGAGGGCCTAGTGTCTGCCGGTTTTTGGGAAACCCTGTTATAGAGGTTGGAGTTTCCACAGAATGTCAGATGAATCCCCTTGGTGGCCACTCCCAGTCATCAGTGTTTCACAGTTAGGGCTGCACCATGTCAGGATCCAATAGAGGGATGTTCCACAGTTAGGGCTGTATGTACCATGTCAGGATAATGTTATAATAATAATAATATATGCCATTTAGCAGACACTTTTATACAAAGCAACTTACAGTCATGCCTGCATCCATTTTAAGTATGGGTGGAATCAAACCCACCACCCTGACGATACAAGTGCCAAGCTCCACCAACTGCGCTACAAAGGACCACTATGCAGTAGATGGGTGTCTCACAGTTAGGGTTGTACCATGTCAGGATCCAATAGAGGGGTGTGTCACAGTTAGGGCTGTACCATGTCAGGATCCAATAGAGGGGTGTCTCACAGTTAGGGTTGTACCATGTCAGGATCCAATAAAGGGGTGTGTCACAGTTAGGGCTGTACCATGTCAGGATCCAATAGAGGGGTGTCTCACAGTTAGGGTTGTACCATGTCAGGATCCAATAGAGGGGTGTGTCACAGTTAGGGTTGTACTATGTCAGGATCCAATAGAGGGGTGTTTCACAGTTAGGGTTGTACCATGTCAGGATCCTGTAGAGGGGGTAGAGCAGCATTGCCATGGCGAGAGAGCCCAGGAAGTCATATTTGTCTGCCTAATGATGTGAATGCAGCATGGATGCTTTTCATCATCAAAACACCTGTCACCACACAACAGTGTGTTCATACTGGAATACAAAAGGGTTATAGGCCTATTTTTTGGTAAAAGGCAATGCTTTTAAAACCCTCTAAGGTTGATATAATTAGCATAGTAAAACATCGCCATACAAATCTGTCAGTTTAAACTAGATCTATTTTTTTTTGCATTGGATGCATCTCAATCCACCGCATCCGCCGATGTCGCACTTCCACATCTGCGGTGAAAGGTGGCAGAGCTATTATGACCCTTCTATGGAACGATGAGACTATGACGAACACAATGGTTGCTCTACAACCTCCAAAAGGGTCAGGAGACTCTTCTGAAGTCGATACAGCCAATCTGCCAACTTCTGTCTGTAGCGTTTGTTTTGTTCTAGGACGCCCACAGGCCTCACAAGACTCGTCTGAAGGTCCCCCGGTACCATGTGAAAAAATGAATGGAAGAATATATGGAGACTGTTTAATGCCCAAAATATGGGGTTAAATACATCTCAGATATAGGAGAGACACTTAAGAACAAACTCCCTTTTGATATTTTTTGGGGACTATCTGTTGTTCCATGTAGTGAATATGTTATTCAATGCATTTGTATGGGCTAATAGCAGTAAGGCCCAAAATATATTTTCATCAAATACTTTTTTTTATGTTTGCTTTTTTATACTTCAAGGGGTCTTAAAATTCTAAATCAAATAGCTAAATGATCCTTGGTATGACCTTCTTAAAACAATTCCATATAGCTTAGTAGAACCCCACCCTTCCCCCGGCTAAGACAGGGCTTAGACTCTGATGGGTTATGCTTTGAATGAGTGCCATTTATTCAGTACAGTCTAATTCAATCTTTGGGAAAGCTATGTTTAATATATTCATTAACTGGAACTCAAATATTTGGGATATCTCAAGGTATAAAGACACAACAGTTTGACAGTGATACATGGGATGTGTGAATTCATTTTGTATCTGACCATAGTGACTGGTGTGATGTCCCCACAGACCCAGAGTCTCAGAGGAAACGCACGGTGCAGAACGTCCTTGACCTCAGACAGAACCTGGAAGATACTATGTCCAGTCTACGGGGAGCCCAGCTCAGCCATGGGTGAGTCCATTACCATACACTAAATTAATAGATTATAGTTAAGCAGTAAGGCTGAGGGGGTGTGGTATATGGCCAATATACCATGGCTAAGGGCTGTTCTTAGGCACGACGCAAACGTGGAGTGCCTGGATACAGCCCTTAGTCGTGGCATATTGGCAATATACCACAAACCCCAGAGGTGCCTTATGGCTATTATAAACTGGTTACCAAGGTAAAAATACATGGTTTGTCATACCTGTGGTATACGGTCTGATATACAGCGGCTTTCAGCCAATCAACATTCAGGGCTCCAACCAAATACTGGGGTGTTTCTGATGTCATGTACTGGTGTGAGTGGGGCATAATGTTAAAAAGCATTATCTTTCCTTTAAAGTTCCATCTGCACAAACATTACTTCCCACCCACACATTACCTGTCAGTCAGCTGTATATATGGTTACCTGTCAGTCAGCTGTGGTCCTCTGTAGCTCAGCTGGTAGAGCACGGTGCTTGTAACGCCAAGGTAGTGGGTTCGATCCCCGGGACCACCCATACACAAAAAATGTATGCACGCATGACTGTAAGTCGCTTTGGATAAAAGCGTCTGCTAAATGGCATATTATTATTATTATTATTATTATTATTATTATTATATAATAGTTTAATTGATCACAAGTAAATATGTGTGTAAACTTAGAAGAAAGCTGTGGATTTGTTTGAGACATGTAATATACTCATACATACGAAACACAATGAACAGATTGATGGAGTACAAACACAATCAATGTTTACACTCAATGGTAACTCTCATCCTCTGTCGTCTTGGCAACCTGCCACCTGGTAAACATGTGATGTCAATCCCTCTCAAACAGACTTTCTTTTTCAAGACCATGTTCGGTATGTGTTTCAGACTGTCTCTATCACGATGAGACACAAACAATAACAAAAAACACCAGAGCTTATCCCCACAGGATACTGAAGAAACTGGCAGAAACCGAAACATTCGTTAACAAAAAGTAATTCTGCATTCAAAGCTTGTATGCCTGCCATTTTGGCTGCTACTTATCCCCAGCTCAACAGTATGTGCTCTGCCTACCAATCTTCCTGTTGCCTTTAGCTCTCTCTGTGAGGTGTGTACTGTAGATGTCCTCTGGGATTCCATTCCAGACATGTGCTCTGAATTTCCATAGCCCTGGCCTCTGGAGACTGACAGACGGCTCAGTAACTTTAAACAAAAACTTTGACCTTGGCCACCGAACCTTTAGAGCACTGATCAAAATCTACTGTAGGTAACATCCACATTCAGTGCTACTAGTAAATCCTCCTCTTCTAATGACTTTACTAGTTCAGCTCCCTGTCATAACTCCTGAACATATACCTTATTGTATGGAATCGTTCGATGTGCATCAATACGTTATAACTATCTTAATTTAAGTTAAACTACATTTCAAAACTCTCAAGGAAATAGCGTGTTACTGTGAGATAATGTATCATTCCACTGAAGCATTCTGAGAGTCGGGCTTTATTCCTGACCCAGTAACATTTAAAGACATGCTCTGGAACTTTGGCGACTACTAAGTATTTTTTAAACCTCCAGCTTTGGGCTGGATGTGTCAATGTGTAGTTCATACATGCATAATCTATGAGCAGAATGACTGTCTTACCTAAATTAGCCACGAAATCCCTAGTTTGAAAGCCATTGTTTTTCTGGAAACTGTGCTGCGCCATTTTCCCTACATTTTCCCCCATGTGGGCCAGCCCCCTAACAATTTCAGTTCTAGTCAATGAGCTTCATCCCCTCGCCATTTAAGTGACAGCTAGCAAGATGCACAAACAGCAGAGCGAGAGAGAGAGAGAGAGAGAGAGTATCGTGTCCCGTCGGCTGTTGGTGGCTATTGCTGTCAAACAAAGAGTCCGCTTAGGCTGCACCTTGATTAGAAGCTTTTATTAATATCACAAGTTTACAGCATAAGTTACAGACCCGCGGTGTCTGGAGAAGCACCGTCCCAAATTAATCTGAATGCCTCTGCCCGCTCTTTGTCTAGGTCCTACTTATAAACAATGGCAATAAATGGGTTGCTCCCTTTTTCGTCCAATCACCTATCCCCCCTGGGGCATCACCCTCCAACTGCTACATTTGAACTAAGATAAACAACATTCCATAATCCTAATACACGACAAGAGCAATGACATGCTGCACATATCTGCACATAATGTGACGTAGATTGCAATTTTCGGGGACCACTTTTGGCAAGTGGGCACTACTTTCAGAACTACTAGCTAAAAAGTATACCAATGTACCGGAGTCGAATGATGCACCGGAGCGTCAATCTAAGTTACATAACAAAAAACTAAACATACAAATATGTCAGTTTGAGCTAGATATAAATGGATAGCATAGGATGCATCTCAATCTACTGCATCCGCCAGTGTCTCACTTCTGCATCTGCGGTGAAAGGTGGCAGAGCTAGAGCGGTGTTTGTCAGACCATGAGACATCCCGAAAATCGGTCTTCTCACGAAAACGTTCGTAGTGTCCGAACGGTTTGACCTACAGTGCCTTGCAAAAGTATTCATCCCCCTTGGCGTTTTTCCTATTTTGTTGCATTACAACCTATAATTTAAATTTGATTTTTATTTGGATTTCATGTAATGGACATACACAAAATAGTCCAAATTGGTGAAGTGAAATGAAAGAAATTCTAAAAAATAAATAACGGAAAAGTGGTGTGTGCATATGTATACACCCCCTTTGCTATGAAGCCCCTAAATAAGATCTGGTGCAACCAATTACCTTCAGAAGTCACATAATTAGTTAGATTGCACACTGGTGGACTTTATTTAAGTGTCACCTGATCTGTCACATGATCTCAGTTTATATACACCTGTTCTGAAAGGCCCAATAGTCTGCAACACCACTAAGCAAGGGGCACCACCAAGCAAGCAGCACCATGAAGACCAAGGAGCCCTCCAAACAGGTCAGGGACAAAGTTGTGGAGAAGTACAGATCAGGTTTGGTTTATAAAAAAATATCTGAAACTTTGAACATCCCACGGAGCACCATTTAAATCCATTTAAAAAAAAGAATATGGCACCACAACAAACCTGCCAAGAGAGGGCAGTACACCAAAACTCACGGACCAGGCAAGGAGGGCATTAATCAGAGAGGCAACAAAGATACCAAAGATAACCCTGAAGGAGCTGCAAAGCTCCACAGCGGAGATTGGAGTATCTGTCCATAGGACCACTTTAAGCCGTACACTCCACATAGCTGGGCTTTACGAAAGAGTGGCCAGAAAAAAGCCATTGCTTAAAGAAAAAAATAAGCAAACACGTTTGGTGTTCACCAAAAGCTATGTGGAAGACTCCCCAAACATATGGAAGAAGGTAAAATTGAGCTTTTTTGCCATCAAGGAAAACGCTATGTCTGGCGCAAACCCAACACCTCATAACCCCAAAAACACCATCCCCACAGTGAAGCATGATGGTGGCAGCATCATGCTAAATACAGGGAAATTCTTGAGGGAAACCTGTTTCAGTCTTCCAGAGATTTGAGACTGGGACAGAGGTTCACCTTCCAGCAGGACAATGACCCTAAGCATACTGCTAAAGCAACACTCAAGTGGTTTAAGGGGAAACATTTAAATGTCTTGGAATGGCCTAGTCAAATGCCAGACCTAAATCCAATTGAGAATCTGTGTTATGACTTAAAGATTGCTGTACACCAGCAGAACCCATCCAACTTGAATGAGCTGGAGCTGTTTTCCCTTGAAGAATGGGCAAAAATCCCAGTGCCAAGTTTATAGAGACATACCCCAAGAGACTTGCAGCTGTAATTGCTGCAAAAAGTGGCTCTACAAAGTATTGACTTTGGGGGGGTGAATAGATATGCACGCTCAAGTTTTCTGTTTTTTTTGTCTTATTTCTTGTTTGTTTCACAATAAAAAAATATTTTGCATCTTCAAAGTGGTAGGCATGTTGTGTAAATCAAATGATACAAACCCCCCAAAAATCAATTAAAAATCCAGGTTGTAAGGCAACAAAATAGGAAAAATGCCAAGGGGGTGAATGCTTTCGCAAGCCACTGTACAAAGTATTATGTAATGGGAAGACTCATGAACACGATGACATTCTCCGTTTTGCTCTACGACCCCCACAAGTGTCCGGAGACTCGTATGAAGTCGGTACCGTCGATGTGCCAACTTCTGTTTGGTAGCGTCCGAACCGTTTGGGCTAGAAAGTGTTATGGAAAGGGGAGATTCTCACGAACACTATGCTGTCCTCCGTTTTCCTCTACGACCTCCACAAGTGTTAGGAGACTTGTCTGAAGGTAACTGGTACCGGTTTTTAAAAAACGAGTGGAAGTATGAATGTAGTTTTGTGTCTACCCCCCCAAAAAAGGGGTTAAATATGTGTAAAAAAATAAATAAAATAAAATGCCTCCTAGATTTAGGACAAACACTTCAAAACCTTGTTTCTTATGATTCTTTGTTTAACTTTTTGCAGTTTCTGAATGTTACTCAATGCATTTCTATGGGCTTAGTAGTAATATTTTTGGGGGATACCTAAAGGGGTCCTACAAATCGAATAGCTAAATGATCCATAGTATGACCATCTTAAAATAATTCCATACAGTGCATTCGGAAAGTATTCAGACCCCTTGACTTTTTCCACATTTTGTTACGTTACAGCCTTATTCTAAAATTGATTAAATCTACACACAATACCCCATAATGACAAAGCAAAAACCGGTTTTTTAGAAATGTTTGCAAATGTATTAAGAATAAAAAACGGAAATATCACATTTAAGTAAGTATTCAGACCCTTTACTCAGCACTTTGTTGAAGCACCTTTGGCAGCGATTACAGCCTCAAGTCTTCTTGGGTATGACGCTACAAGCTTGTATTTGGGGAGTTTCTCCCGTTCTTCTCTGCAGATCCCCTCAAGCTCTGTCAGGTTGGATGGGGAGCGTCGCTGCACAGCTATTTTCAGGTCTCTCCAGAGATGTTAGATCGGGTTCAAGTCTCTGCTCTGGCTGGACCACTCAAGGACATTCAGAGACTTGTCCCGAAGCCACTCCTGCGTTGTCTTGGCTGTGTGCTTAGGGTCGTTGTCCTGTTGGAAGGTGAACCTTCACTTCAATCTGAGACCCTGAGCGCTCTGGAGCAGGTTGCCATCAAGGATCTCTCTGTACACTGCTTCGTTCATCTTTCCCTCAATCCTGACTAGTCTCCCAGTCCCTGCCACTGAAAATCATCCCCACAGCATGATGCTGCCACCACCGTGCTTCACCTTGGTTTCATCAGACCAGAGAATCTTGTTTCTCATGGTCTGAGTCCTTTAGGTGCCTTTTGGCAACTCCAAGTGGGCTGTCGTGCCTTTTACTGAGGAGTGGCTTCTGTCTGGCCGCTCTACAATAAAGGCCTGATTGGTGGAGTGCTGCAGAGATGGTTGTCCTTCTGGAAAGTTCTCCCATCTCCACAGAGGAACTCTGGAGTTCTGTCAGAGTGACCATTGGGCTCTTGGTCACCTCCCTGACCAAGGCCCTTCTCCCCTGATTGCTCAGTTTGGCCGTGCGGCCAGCTCTAGGAAGAGTCTTGGTGGTTCCAAACTTCATCCATTTAAGAATGATGGAGGCCACTGTGTTCTTGGGGACCTTCAATGCTGCAGAAATGTTTTGATACCCTTCCCCAGATCTGTGCCTCAACACAATCCGGTCTCGGAGCTCTACAGACAATTCCTTCGACCTCATGGCTTGGTTTTTGCTCTGACGTGCACTGTCAACTGTGGGACCTTATATACATTTACATTTACATTTTAGTCATTTAGACAGGTGTGCCTTTCCAAATCATGTCCAATCTATTGAATTTACCACATGTGGACTCCAATCAAGTTGTAGAAACATCTCAAGGATGATCACTGGAAACAGAATGCACCTGAGCTCAATTTCGAGTCTCATAGCAAATGGTTTTTAACACTTATGTAAATAACGTATTTTGCAACCATTTCTAAAAACCTGTTTTCACTTTGTCATTATGGGTCATTGTGTGTAGATTGAAGATTTATAAAAAATGTAATCCATTTTAGAATAAGGCTGTGACGTAACAGAATGTGGAAAAAGTCAAGCGGTCTGAATACTTTCCGAATGCGCTGTATTTCAGCTTAGACTCTAAAGAATTAACAGTCCCTATTGATGAATTATCCATCTACGGAAATACAGAAATAGCAGGAGGAAAAAACACCCACATAGTCTCAGGCAGTCATTGCATTATTCATCTGGGCTGGTTGGTGCATATGGTTATTTAATGGCCAGACTCTCGTCACCATCGGGAGGCCAATGCAAAACCTGACCCACTTAGAGAACAGACTAAAACTACTCTCTAATCTAGACTAGAAATACTATCTAATCTAAACTAGAACTACTCTCTAATCTAGACCAGAACTACTCTCTAATCTAGACTAGAACTACTCTCTAATCTAGACTAGAACTACTCTCTAATCTAGACTAGAACTACTCTCTAATCTAAACTAGAACTACTCTCTAATCTAGACTAGAACTACTCTCTAATCTAGACTAGAACTACTCTCTAATCTAGACTAGAACTACTCACTAATCTAGACTAGAACTACTCTCTAATCTAAACTAGAACTACTCTCTAATGTAAACTAGAACTACTCTCTAATCTAGACTAGAACCACTCTCTAATCTAAACTAGAACTACTCTCTAATCTAAACTAGAACTACTCTCTAATCTAGACTAGAACTACTCTCTAATGTAAACTAGAACTACTCTCTAATCTAGACTAGAACTACTCTCTAATCTAAACTAGAACTACTCTCTAATCTAAACTAGAACTACTCTCTAATCTAGACTAGAACTACTCTCTAATCTAAACTAGAACTACTCTCTAATCTAAACTAGAACTACTCTCTACTCTAGACTAGAACTACTCTCTAATCTAAACTAGAACTATTTTCTAATCTAGACTAGAACTACTCTCTAATCTAGACTAGAACTACTCTCTAATCTAGACTAGAACTACTCTCTAATCTAGACTAGAACTACTCTCTAATCTAGACTATAACTACTCTCTAGTCTAAACTAGAACTACTCTCTAATCTAGACTAGAACTACTCTCTAATCTAGATTATAACTACTCTCTATTCTGAGGTCTCTCTACATGTCCACATTGGCTCACCTTTCACTAGCTGACACTGGTCCAACATTTTCTCTCGTCTGATCATGTAGTCAAGAAAAAGTCCTGGCCAGCCTGAGCAATCATACAATTTTTCAGTTGGGGTGTGTGATTATGTACAGATTGCCTTAGGTCTGTAAATCCCAGCTGGTAATGATGTTGTGAACATATTGTTGAGGGTTATGAATGATCCTGTCAAAGGGAGAGAGGGAAGAAACTAAAGACTCTTCTCAGTTCACACAATTATGCTATATCCTTACACTGTTGCTAGTGACTTGCCCCTGAGTTCTGAGATGTCACACATCTTTGCTGTAGTGGCTGAAGTCTGAGAGTGAATGTTACAGTCATATCTAGGTCAGCAGAGACTCTATGGCTGGATAGATTCCTTTAAAGGCCGACTGACAGAGAGGGAAAAATATAGAGGAAATAGCTTTTCTCTCTCTAGAATTCTTTCTCTCTATAATAATAATATCATAGTCACTCACTCTACATTTCCCCTCCCTTTCTGTCCTCTCTCATCCATTCCATTTCTACAATACTATAACCTCTCCCTCGCCTTCTCTCCCCAGCTGTCTGGACAGCAGTACTGTTTGCTACGACAGTGATGAGACTAATGGCCGCAGCATGTCCAGTCAGTCCAACCGCTCCTCTCCTCTCTCCTGGCGCCACGGCCAGTCCAGCCCCCGGATGCAGGCTGGAGATGCTCCTTCTTCCACGGGCAGCGGCGTGTATCAGGGGGGCAAGGCTGGGTCCCAGTACACGGCCCACACCATGCCCGCCCGAGTCTCCAGCCGTCTCAGCCACTCCTCCCGAATGGCGCTCATCGAAGGGCTGGACGTGGATGATGCGGACCTCAAGTCTGGTTACCTGAGTGATAGCGACCTGCTGGGAAAGAGCATGCCAGAGGATGACGACGACAACCTGGCCAATGGGTAAGGGTCTATACCAGGGGTGTCAACTCATTCCATAGAGGGCAGAGATTCTGATGTTGTTTTTGTTATTTCCTTTCAATTTGTGTCCAATTAAGACCTAGACAACCAGGTGAGGGGAGTCCCTAACTTAATTGATCAATGAAATACTTGGACCTCCATGGAATGAGTTCCACACCTGTGGTCTGTTCTGTTTCTAACTGGGGGTTCTCCTACTCTGGTTGTGGTGGGGGGATTATCCTACTCTGGTCATGGTGGGGGGATTCTCCTACTCTGGGGGGTGGGTTTCCTACTCTGGTCGTGGGGAGCTACTGGGTGTTTGTGAAGGCTTTGGATCCAGTTCTGCAGTAACACTTGCTTTGCATCCTACTGTTAAATTATCTTTGATATAGTCCTTGTGAATACTACGGATAGTTGTGATCACTTGTTCTTTGGACCAAATCGGTCCTACAACATACAGTATGTCATAAAGCAATTATCAATCAAGCATACATTTGGATGAGACACTTTTTTTGTGGGTAAAAAATTGCTTTGAGTTGGCACTTGTGCTTGGTGTAGCCCTCTTGTAGTGCTGTCCTCAGCAGTCTGTCTAGTGTAACTCTTGTTGGTGGTCCTCTGTAGCTCAATTGGTAGAGCACGGCGCTTGTAATGCCAGGGTAGTGGGTTCGATCCCCGGGACCACCCATACGTAAAAATGTATGCACACATGACTGTAAGTCGCTTTGGATAAAAGCATCTGCTAAATGGCTTATTATTATTGTTCCTGGATGGGTCTGTCAGGGCTTCATGGGTCTGTTAGGGCTTGATGGGTCTGTTAGGGCTTCATGGATCTGCCAGGGCTTCATGGGTCTGTTAGGGCTTCATGGATCTGTCAGGGCTTCATGCAGCAACCATCTCAGGCTGATTCTGCTGAGACGAATCTGAATTTTGTTAACCTTTCTGCTGAGTAGAGAGCACCCTGACAATAAAGTCCTGCAGCATTCCTTTAGTGTAGCTGTGATGAGTATCGACTTGCATGTGAATCATCAGCTATTATTCTCAGAGTAGTTATCTGGTATTACTAATGTGGATCCCCCTCTGGCTGAAACTCATTGTTCTGTGAAATATATTGTGGTTGTGTTTGTTTTTGGGTGGATATGGCAACTAGTGAATAAACACATGTGCAAACAGAAGTTTTAAAAAAATAGTCTAGAATCCAGAGTATTTCCAAAGTCGCAGCTTCACTATTTCATCTCTGTTCCTAGCCATTCCAAGAACTAGGGAAATTATGTGCTGAAACCAGACATTTTGTCTGACCCATTTTTTTACGGAATCTTCCATTTTGTAGCGATAGAAAACCAAGATGGCCGACTGGCAGGAAAACCAGAGCTGGATCTCTAAATGGGTCTAAATGAGTGCAGATCACGTCTGAGTTGTGCAGTAATGACATTCATTACATGCCTCCTGCTGAGCTGGCCGTGTCACAAACAGCTGTGGCCATTCATTCATTCACACCCACATCTCAGTGCAAATACAGAGGAGGGTGTGACTGACACAAACACATGCAGAGCCCCTCGAATCACTGCCTGCCCCTCCACTAAATGGGTTTTAGCAAGTCCCTTGGTGCTACCAAAAAACATAAGCGAAAAGTACTGACATACAATATCACATTGGTTTAAAGTACTCCCCTACCTTTTTAACAGTCATAACCCACTAACTTACTAATACTAACTGCCCATTAGTAACAGTAGCCTACCAATCAATGCCATGGTACAGCATCAGTCAGATCCTAGGTCAAGGTGTCAGGGTGTGTCTGGGTGTGTCAAGGAGTGTCAGGTGTTCTGTCTGCCAGCTGCAGCATTCCCTCCTTTAATGCCTCATTTAACACTTAATTAACACTTAATCTCTCTCTTTCTCGCTCTCTTTCAAACTCAAAACTATCTCATTCTCTCTCCCTCTCTTAGGAATCTCCCTCTCATTCTCCCCCCCCATCCATCTCTCTCTAACTCCTCATTTCCTTGGTGTCACATCCTCTCTTTAATTCCCTCTCCCTAGTTGACAGTCAGTAAGCAGGGAGAGGAAAGGCTGAGAGTGGCTGAGGGAATCCAGGCCAGTTCTCTGGTGTGATGTGAGCAGCTTTATCTCTGCTCCACATGCACTGGGATTTAATCTGCAGCTTCTTGGGCAGATTGAAGGAAAAGAGAGCGTGAGAGTGAGATAGTATGTCTGATGATTTTAGAAATGCCTGATAGTGAGTGCTCAGCACTGGGCCACCCATGTCTTCAATCAGTAGGTGAGTATTTCAAGGTGACCATGATGACAAACCCTATACCTCCTGTGTTGTGTCACCAGGTCCCAGGTCAGTCATACCCAGAGATGGGACTATGGGCATTTGAGTCATTTAGCAGACACTTTTATCCAGAGCAATTTACAGTAGTGAGTGCATACATTTTCAAACTTTTTTCATACTGGTCCCCCGTGGGAATCGAACCCACAACCCTGGCGTTGCAAGTGCCATGCTCTACCAACTGAGACCTGCACGCACGCACGCACTTTATCTGTCAGAATAAAACAAGGGGAGGGGCTATTCTAGGACTGAAAAATGGAAGAGATGGCTCATGCTTTAGTTTCCCCCTATAATACATAGCTCAGCATACTTCTGAATACATTAGCATTTTTTGTAACACTACTGTCCTTGTTGGCAACCATTAATTCATTTCATCTGCTCAAATGCAAAAAATTATCCACAATGCTGACAGCACTCCAAACACACACGTGTACGCACGCACACACACACACATGCACACACACAGTTGAGCTCATTGGAAACCATTAGCCTCTACCCATCTCTTGAAAATAGATAATTTCTGCAAGCCCCTCTTGTCTCCATAGCAACCAACTCCTATGTGACGGTGGGGAGAGGGAACATTTCTCAAGCTCTTTCACAATCATCTCTAATACATTCTTATTTATCTGAATGGAAGCTATAGTAATACTGTCAATCATATCCAAAGGGAAGTTTGACTTTCATGCGTAACATGAAAATGTTGAGCTAAAATGGTCCTGTAATTAAATATAATTTTCACATCTATTATTCTGGTGGTTCTGTATTCTGGTTTCTGGTTGACTGTAAGGATGTTAACCTTTTACTGCAGTAGGCTAAATCAGGGTCACACAGAGTGTTTCTTGGTAGTCTTAAACAAATCTACTTTGAAACCAAAGTATACACCTCACACAAATGATTATGGGCTTAAAAGAAGACACCTGTACTATGTCAGATATTGAGTTGAAATGTAATACATTTTCAGTTTGCATCCCAATATTACACTTTATATACATCACAGAAGACTGAAATATAACAAAACTGTTTGACATAGAAACACTGGACTTCCGTAGTTTGTCGTATTATTAATGATGAAATTATGAAAAATATAAATAACATTCCAGCCTTGACGCCAAAGAGGGAGCTTTTGGTCATTGACTGCAGGAAAGGGCTACATCATTGAGGGACTTTGTCATACACTACATGACCAAAAGTATGTGGACACCTCCTCGTCGAACATCTCATTCCAACATTGCTGCAGGGACTTGCTTCCATTCAGCCACCAGAGCATTAGTGAGGTCGAGCACCGATGTTGGGCAATAAGGCCTGGCTCGCAGTCGGCGTTCCAATTCATCCCAAAGGTATTCAATGGGGTTGAGGTCAGTCAAGTTCTTCCACACCGATCTTGACAAACCATTTTTGTATGGACCTCGCTTTGTGCACAGGGTCATTTTCATGCTGAAACAGGAAAGGGCCTTCTCCAAACCATTGCCTACAATGGGCGGCAGGTAGTTTAGTGGTTAAGTGCGTAGTGCCAGTAACCGAAAGGTTGCTGGTTCTAATCCCCGAGCCGACTAGGTGAAAAATCTGTTGGTGCCCTTGAGCAAGGCGCTTAACCCTAATTGTTCCTGTAAGTCGCTCTGGATAAGAGCGTCTGCTAAATGACAAAAAAAAAAAAAAGTAGTGTTAAGATTTTCCTTCACTGGAACTAAGGGACCTAGCCCGGACCATGAAAATCAGCTCCAGACCAAGTGGCGGCTGTGGATGGTCTCTCTGGGGTTTGGGTTCTAGGGAGTGAACTGGACCTGCAACACATTTCTACATGTTCTGGTGGCCTAATGTCTATTGATTTACTGCTACACTAACTACTGTACACTAATGTGGTCCTCTGTAGCTCAGCTGGTAGAGCACGGCGCTTGTAACGCCAAGGTAGTGGGTTCGATCCCCGGGACCACCCATACACAAAAAAAAAATGTATGCACGCATGACTGTAAGTCGCTTTGGATAAAAGTGTCTGCTAAATGGCATATTATTATTATTATAATGTACTGACTGATGGCTGTGTGATATCTACAGCTGGTCTAGACCTTACTGACTGATGGCTGTGTGATATCTACAGCTGGTCTAGACCTTACTGACTGATGGCTGTGTGATATCTACAGCTGGTCTAGACCTTACTGACTGATGGCTGTGTGATATCTACAGCTGGTCTAGACCTTACTGACTGATGGCTGTGTGATATCTACAGCTGGTCTAGACCTTACTGACTGACGGCTGTGTGATATCTACAGCTGGTCTAGACCTTACTGACTGATGGCTGTGTGATATCTACAGCTGGTCTAGACCTTACTGACTGATGGCTGTGTGATATCTACAGCTGGTCTAGACCTTACTGACTGATGGCTGTGTGATATCTACAGCTGGTCTAGACCTTACTGACTGATGGCTGTGTGATATCTACAGCTGGTCTAGACCTTACTGACTGATGGCTGTGTGATACCTACAGCCGGTCTAGACCTTACTGACTGATGGCTGTGTGATATCTACAGCTGGTCTAGACCTTACTGAGTGATGGCTGTGTGATATCTACAGCTGGTCTAGACCTTACTGACTGATGGCTGTGTGATATCTACAGCTGGTCTAGACCTTACTGACTGATGGCTGTGTGATATCTACAGCTGGTCTAGACCTTACTGACTGATGGCTGTGTGATATCTACAGCTGGTCTAGACCTTACTGAGTGATGGCTGTGTGATATCTACAGCTGGTCTAGACCTTACTGAGTGATGGCTGTGTGATATCTAGAGCTGGTCTAGACCTTACTGACTGATGGCTGTGTGATATCTACAGCTGGTCTAGACCTTACTGACTGATGGCTGTGTGATATCTACAGCTGGTTTAGACTGTACAGTGTCCTGGGGTAACTGAGACAACCAGAGAGCAATGATGTTCCTCTGAGTGATGACAGAGAGAGATGGAGGGGAAGGGGAATGGTGTAACACACAGGGGTGTGTTCAGTTCAGAACGGGTGAAACGTTCAGATAGAAATATGATGCGTAGAGAAGGTACTGTATCTCCATTTTAAACACTTTCTACATGTTTTGGTCTCCGTGAATCATATTCTACTCATTGGGTTAGACATAAATAATCTAATTATTACTGAATATATGTTTTATTTTCCAAATGATCAATGTTCCACTTTTCAATGCCATCTTTACAAACAGAGTTACGTGGTGCACCCCTCCGTCAATTATTGTTACATACTTGGACCCACCGAGTAGCGGCATCAGCGTTCTGTTGCAACCTGATGGGTACTTTCTCACGTCCAATCGCTTCGTTTCACAGGAGAATCATCTGTTTGTAGAGCGAATGGTTTAATGCTTTAAACAGGACATGCAAACATGGCGATTTTCTAAATGAGGCCCACCCAGAATGCGCTCTGTTTATCACAACCAAGGGATTTACTGTATTTTCCTGGCAGACGTTGATTAACTCAAAACATTACTGAAAGCTTATTTAGACTTTCAGACAGAAAACTAATGACTGTCAGCATTTTATTTGGATTCAGATTCGGCCCTGTTTACAGAACCGGCTGTAAAGCACTTAACTGCACGGTAAGGTATCGATTATGGCAGTGCCTACGGGCATCCACATTATCGTGTGGAATGGGAGTACTGTGTTAGGCTAAATACAAGGCTATCTATCCCCCCTCTTTCCATTGTGTGGTAAGGTTAGGTAATGTAATGTATGTGGGAACATGGTGGTGCAGGGCTGGTGTACTGTAGCCAGCTGGCTGTGTGTGTGAGCAGTGCAGTGCAGAGAAAGAGAAGGGAAAAGGAAGTCTGGTGCAGCAACACACCTCTCATCATGCGGCACATGGATCAGGATGTGCTGCCATGGTAACCCTCTTCCTCTGACCCACTGTTTGGCTGTGCATTGTGTATCAGTGTGCGGTAGTGAGCGTGTGTGTATGCGCGTATGTGTGTGTGGCTGTGTGTGGCTGTATGTGTGTGGCTGTGTGTAGCTGTTGGTGGTTGTGTGTGGCTGTGTGTGTGTGGCTGTGTGTGTGTGGCTGTGTGTAGCTGTTGGTGGCTGTGTGTAGCTGTGTGTGGCTGTGTAGCTGTGTGTGTGTAGCAGTGTTTATGTGTGTGTGGAGGATAAAGTGGCTTCATATTGACCTACTAAGTAGATTGTTCTGCATGCAAACATGAAACGGTGTAGTGGGCGACTGGGCACTGGATGTCTCTGGCTCATACCTATTGTTAGAACTCCCCTCTGAATCCCACTATGGCAGACATGTTTGATGGTTTCCAAACTGCTATCAATAATTACGGCACAAAGACTTGCAGGAGGTCATTACAATTTACATTAATTGAGGTCATTAGAATGCAATCAGTCTTTCCATAATTAATGGTGTTGTTTCTGATGAACAACACACTGCTCAGTTAGATTACCACACACAATGCATATATAATGCTGTTTAAAATGCATCACTATTCGGAAACTGCCCAGAGAGATTCATATAAAGTATGTGGTAATCAGTTAAGACAAAGAATGGATTCCTACATGTTAGCCAATCCATCGTTTCAGTTTGCTCTTCTGGTAATGTCATTTCCATGGCAACGGTGAAAAATATTTGCACATGCTAGGAAATAGACCTCCCCCTTACGCATCAACACAACCATAAGGAAACACGTACAGTACAGTAGGTGTATTTGCCTCTAGTCATCTAATACTAGTCCTCTTAGAAGGGAACAGTCTGCCTTCAATTTCTCTTTCCTGCATGCATTGGACACTACTCCAC